CGCATTTCATGCATTATATCACACCCCCAACTGCATAATTATAATTGTGCGCCATATGCTAATTCAAATGCTTATCTTAGCCGAAGTGGCATTCCACCGGGTAAATAACTATGGATCGAATTTTGTGAAGCTCAACATGCATGGCGCAAGATAGGGGAGCCCTCTTCAAGAGTTCTCTATTGTTTTGATAAAGAAACGAATAAAAAAGTCTACTTTTTTCCTTTGTACCCAAAAGCATCAGAATTCAGTGCTTAGTCACGATTGCGCGTTTTTTGAAAAGAACTATTCGTAGAGATCATTTCCAATGCTTCACTACTCACCATGAAAAGGTATCGCTCCAAAAATAGCAATCTTCTCTAGGTATGCGGCTCTATATAGGACATACGAATCTGAAATTGCCCCGGGAAAGCCCTATCCCAGACGTGCAAATATAATTCGTAGCAGCCCAAACCGAACAGAAATGCGAGAAGAGGAAAATTCCGATGAACAATATCACAAAAATGCTAGGTTGTAGGCAAAACCCTAGGAAGTAGGCGGGAATCAAACCCGCACCTCTCGTTTGTTGGGTAGTTCCTGCTACCGACTACACCACCGGGGCACCGACACCTCAGCCCAACTCTTTATGGCATATTTACCACACTCACCAGCACCGACAGGTACGACTGGTGATCCGGTTAGACGAAATTGGTAGTGAACCGCGAGGCCGAAAGCTCAAGAAGGTATTAGTTTTGAATTGATTTCGACTGTAACCATGAAGAGCCATGCTAAGGTGAAGCGGTGCTCCTTTGTTGTCGGTAGCACAACTGCCTGGAAAGCGAAAGATGCGCGTTCGATTCTGCTGGGGCGAAGAGTTTGGCCACAGGCCAACATCCATTAATATGACACTAAACTCTTTAGAAAGGTCATCCTACCGCAATTGCTGAACTGCTTGAAAGCAGAAGAAGGCTGCGATGCTGTGCTGTTTTGTGCAATGGTTAAAAACAGAAGAAGGAAGAAAGGTTAAAGGAAGGCTTCCTTCTAAAACAGCTCTAATTGTAGTATATGGCGATCAAATTTCAAACTATAAAATATCAATTTTGGGTTACCTCAGATTGACCAATTTTAGGAGAAAGTTCTCGGGCTAAAATTATATCGCTTTTGGTATCATTGCGAAGTAGGGAACTGATTATAACTCACGACACCGAAAGTTTTATTTCTTCAAGATTAGGTGATTGACACCAGTCGCACACCCTACACCGGATTCCTCCACAGGCTTTATTGTATGGGCCAAATCGCATTCAGGACAGGAAGTCGAATGTGTGGCGCAATCCAAAAATGAATTGGCCGAAGCCGACTGCGTTATTCGCTCTTATGTATTCAAAAAACGAAATAATCTATCACAATATAGCTCAGAGTTGAAAAATTCACGGTTAGCCCCTGGTGTGCGCCATACTCTCAGTTTTCATTTTCGAAAAAGAGAAACACAAGCGTGGTAATCAGGACTGAACTGTAGCACTGAAACATGAGCAAGACCGTAAGGGATGCCCTGGAGAGGTAGAATGACTCGAGCGGGGTACGGCATTGTGTACAATTGTGTACAATGGCGCTATGGCTACCGATATTAGTGTTATTAGATTTATTACCTGTTACGGAGCTCATTGCTATTAAAAAATAAATGTTGTCAATGACTGACACCGTTGGGTTACGAAAGACAGAAGAGGCCGTGTGAGTCAGAAGCCGCCGTCCGTCTTTCGTTGCTGCTCATCAGCACATCTGAATGAAGCTGTTGACGACGGGGAATCTGATGGCTGTTGACGGCTAGGCATCTGATAGTTCATGCTGGTGATGAAACGAGATGGAAGAGCTCATAAATTCCTATTAATGACACCTTTTCCTTGTCAATAGAAACTGGTAGAGGAGCGGCAACAATATATAGCCAATGGACAGCAAAAACAGCTTTTAAAGTTCAAATGCTCCAGCCTGATGAGCACCGACGAAGAATGCGAATAAGGCTCAGAACCTAGGAGAAGCAACAACTCAGCGCATTACTACCCTATCATAAGGTTGAGGAAGGATTAGCAACAACGAAGGTAGGATTACCCGCAACAAAGCAGATGAGCAGCGAAAAATGTGATCGCTGCATCTCCTTTTCACAGGTGTTCGTGGTGCCTTTTTGAAAGTGGGATCCATTTTCTTTAGGAAAGACCTCTTTTATGCAAAGCCTGAAGACCTTAACAGGTAGTGATCAGTCGTGGGTTTACGGTGAAATACCCCGAGCGAAACATTCTAGGCCAGCATTAAAGGACTACTGGAGAGCATGCCAGATCGCAATCTTGGAGGCTGGACCTACAAATTATGGTCATTTGTTGCTGCAGCACAGACTTGATTTACAGCTGAATTTTTTGATCGAAAGAGTTGGTGATGAATACCCCCGGGTTTCTCAAGGGAAATCGCGATGCTGAAATGCAGCGAAAATGAGGTCCACATCATCATGAACAAGAACACAAAGCATTCTCAAGACTTGAGTTTGCAAGATTTCCGCTTGATTTTCTCCGCCAAACGCACAAGCGGAACAATTGGGTAGATGGGTCTTTTTCTGTAGTGAGAAAGCATATTGAGGGGATTTTTATCGAGTCACGAATGAGGTTTAACCGTTCGTCGCAATTATTTCGGAGGACACAGCGAAGGTTCAGAGCGACTTACCTGTGAAGTCACCATAACAAAGGAGCATTTTTTCAATGATGGCCAGGAACAGTTTGAAATTCCCGCACCTTTACCGATTTATAAGTGCAAAGTTTCTGAAGGTATCATATTTTAAAGGGCGACAGTGGTGTAGTGGCAAGTGGCACGCTTACCACAGGAATCGAATCATGGGTC